CCTCAAATTTTTTTTTTTTTTTTTTTGAGTGGTAGTATCTGTCTCAGCTATGGTACCAGGTTTGATCACTTTCTGGTGACACAACTTGCCACAGTGATGCTGAACTCGAATCATGTGACATTGACATTGACTCTAAGCCTAGAATGGAGGCATCTGATGGGCAGCTGGGCCAAAAAAAAAAAAAAGTGCATTAAATTAAAACACAACTTAAAGATATCATTATATTAAAAGGATAATCTCATTCAGTATTTGGGACTCACATGCATTGGGCAGCTGGGCCAAAAAAAAAAAAAAGAAAGAAAAGAAATCAATAGTTGCCTGCTTCCAGCCCAGATGGAGAGACGTGCCAATATTGCAGCCTTTCCTTGCTTCAATTACTAAAACAAGCTCAAGAGAGTCTAACGGACCCTCCCTCTCTTTCCTGCTCCTTGTCTTCCTGTCTCGTGGCAGTAATGAAAGTTCTGTGTGTTCTTCTGTGGCAGTAGATGGGGAATAAATGTGTCTTATTGAAAGCCTTATCGCCAGTCAGCGCGCTGAAGTCATGTTTCCTCCCTGCTGATTCGCACCATTTAAATGATTGTGTGTGTGAAGCCAACAGCGAAGCGGAACCTCAGAAAATAAATGTCCCAGGATATTAAGCGTCCTGCACTTCCTTGTTTTGTTTTGATGTTTTCAAAACATGGTTTTCCCCATTTCCAATGTTTTTTTTTTTTGGCATGCTTTTTTCATTATTTTGATCAAAGTTTCTGAACCATGGAAAATGTGCAAAATGAAGGATCTCAGCGGACCGTTTTTAATATCAAGAATGGAATATATAAAAGACGAAGGGAACATGAACATCACAGGCTCAGCTCTGCTATGGTGTATGTAACTTGATTTTTTTTTTTAGAAAACTGTGTTGCACAGAACTGTCTGTATGAGTGTGAATGAGATATCGGAGCGTAACTAATTATAGCTTCAGCCTTCCACAGCCAGCGATTTGCCAATTCTCATACTTCTCACTGTCTCTTTTCACACTGCAGTCATCTAAACCTCATTCAGCCCCAAGTGACCTGGCCCGCTTGGCCGTTTGCACTGCATTATGGGCATTTAGCTGTCCGCTCCTTCTATTACTTCTCAGCTAGAAAGCTGGAGACCTTTGGACCTCACGCTGATGCTGTTTCTTCTTTGAGAGGATGGGAGTCTTCACGCCTTCGGCTGCATTAAGATGGAGATCGGTTCTCCCTTCACACTCCGGGCTGATTGCTGTCTCTGCTTATTGACCTCCTCTCTTCATCTCCTCCTGCTTCCCTTTCTGGATTTATTTCCCCAGACGGGCATGGTGGTATTAAATGTAGTGCGTGGTATTATTTAATGGCTCTCTAATGAATATGGGCCCATGCTGCTGTGGAGCATAGTGCTGATGCTAACCCAATAAAAGCAGATTATGAGGGGGATCCATCAGCAGGTAATGAACCGGTCTGGACAGTTCTGTGCTAACTCAGGCTATAATGGACCTACTTGTTCAGCTTGAGCTCTGTGGATGCATGCTGCTGACAGCACTACTTCCATACTGGGATAAAAGGAAAGTAATCTGTCTTGTCCCTTCCTCTTCCTGAAAACTCCCTCACCACCGTCACATGCTCCAAAGGAATATTCTGGGTTTAATACAAGTTAAGCTCAACCGAGAGCATTTGTGGCTTGTTGAATACCAGAAAAATAAAAAACAAGGTTACTGTGAGGCACCTACAATGGAAGTTAATGTGGGCCAATTTTTTAGTTATCTTATGGCAGAAATGTGAAGCTTGTAGTTTTATTAAAGCATGAATTTTTCTGTTAAGCATGTGTTATTTGATCTGTAAAGCTGTTTAAATCATTATTTTTGCAGACGTCCTAGGGATTATGGCATGACATCGTCATGGCACGTTCTGAAATTTGATATAACATTTCATAGACCATGACATCATATTGTTTACGTCAAGTTAGGGTTGTGCCGATAGACGATGCCATCGTCCATCGCCAACGGCTGACAAACATCACGATGTTGAGCCGGCATCATGTTTGTCGTGAACTGAGCGCGGAAAGTGAAGTATGCCCGGGCCTTTAGTGGTCAGCTGCTACAGAGCATGGCAAAATCGAAATTGTTGATGAGATGAAGACGAAAATATCTAATGGAAAATGAGAATGTTATGTTTTAAAAAAAATTTCCAACATAGACAAGAAAGTGCCAAGGACAAGGAATGACAAGGTCAAGTCAAAATGAATTTTTGGAATCAACATTATGCCACAAATGCTGTTAGTTGAGCTTAACCCTGTATATTCATTTTTCTCGCTCACCCATGCTGCTTTTTCTCTATTCCTCCATATCTTCCACTTCATCTTCTTCCTCTCTGTCTGTCTGTTTTTTTTTTCTCTCTCTCTCTGTATGGTAGGGATTGTGCTGTCACTTATGTGATGATGCAGAAATGGAGTAAGAACCTTGGCCCTGACACATCCATGGCCTCCCTTCCTCTCTCTCCTGCCCAAAGAGAAAGAGGCTTTGTGGGACTCTGTGAAGGCGCAGAAGCGTTTATCTGGCCCAGAGCCAATAATATTCTTGCTGAGAGCACATATGAAGTTTTTTCCTCAACCAATACAGTGTTATTTTTTGGTATTTCACACAACATTAATCATAGGAAGGTATAATTAGAAGGAAGTGCATAATTAGAGAGGAACTGTGTTTTCAGCCTTTATCTTCAGCATTCTGTCTTCATGAATGCACACTGAAGCTGCTGTTGCAATCGATATAACACTAAAGTGGACTCAAAACATGACTTAATTATGAGTCAAAAGGCGTCACTTGTTAGCTTGCAGTTCTCACACACCTTGTTGAACATCGACTGCTATGCCTTTTTGTTCTTTTTGCTTTGATAACTAAACAGCAGCAATATGGGATTTTGAATGTGTTTCATATCCCTGTTCAAATCACAATAGCTTTTCAAAGTCAAAATAATTTTTTTTCATCACAGTTGTGCAGTCCTTTATGCAAGCAGTAATTGAACCACTTAAGGTGTTTTGTCATATCACAAAAAATGCCCCTCTACCCCTGACAATACAATCGTTAATGAAACTAAAAATAGAAATCCACATTATTGAACTTTGCTGAGCTTTTATATACGCGTATGTAAACATATACAAGCAAGCTTTTCAAACATCACCATTTGATTGATGCAGTTATTTGCAGTGTCTACACTTGTGAGCTAATTCTATTGATTTGAGGCAGTCTTGGCTATGGAGATTGACAAACTCTGAGTACAGATTCAGCAGATGGTCTCACTTTTTACATTTGTGGAGTCTTCTGGAACATCTGGAAAAGTCTGGGCTATTTTTACCCACCAAATGTGTCCTTGATGATAGATGTGACTGCTGATAGTGCAACTAAACCAAGATACATGGGTCCTCTTCCTGATTTGTATATTTTTGCAACCAATTATTGTATTGTTTTCGTGTTAAAATATTTAAGCATCCTTAAAACAGGATATATTCACTTGAGAAGTAAAACTAGTTAAGTTATTTCCAATATATATATATATATATATAAATTAACTTATAAATGAAATAATTAAATAAATAATTGAATTAGGCCTCTACAATATTTCAACAATATTTAATATATATCTTGAATTAAGTTCTTACTCCTCTGGCAAGAAAATGTTTTGCTTTTTAGGCTTAAATTTTACTGAGGTTTACATGAAAAAATAATGCCAATGGGCTAACAAACATAAACTTAATTCTCAAGATATATTCTCTGAAAACAAGTCTTAATACAGTATCTTAAGCAATTTTGCTTCTCAAGTGAATTTGTTTTTATTAATGTTATACATTTTTTACTTAAAAACCGGCAGAAATACTGATTAATAAAGTTGTGTTTTTGCAGTGTTCAGATATGTGTGAATGCATCAGTATATAAATTTTGCTTTTCCCAGTTTCCCACAGGCTGAATAATTAGTCACTCTATAGTGATCGCTGCAGCCTATTAATTCTGATTTCTCTTCTTCGCTCTTTTTCCTCTACTTTATCTCTCTCTCTCATTCTATTTCAATTGCTTTCTTTTACCCTCTCGTTCTTTCTCTCTCTCCTCTGCCCCTGCAGAAGTCCTCTGATGCTGCTTTGCCTTCAATATCATCTCCTCCTTCGCAAGCAGCTGAGAAAAGCATCCTGGAGGTACTGTAGCATTGTGCTTCTCTGTGCTGTGCTCATCTGTGTGGTTCACTGATCTTGGTGCTGTGCATTCTCGAGGATGCATCCCAATTTGCATACTTTCTATCCTAAATAGTATGCAAGCTTAGAATGATTGCATTTCAAATGATATTATGTTAAAAATATGCCAAATGCGCCCAAATTGCGTACTATTACAGCTACATTTTGAAGTATGCATCCATAAAAATTAAATGTAAAGAAATAACAAATTTTTAAGACTTAATGCAATCAAAATTGGGGTTCTGTGGCCTTTAGTCCCTGTCTGAAGCTATCTAAATGCAAGTGTACTTCTAATGTTTAGCTTTAAGCAGGAAGGAAACAAACAAACCCCAAAAAATTTGATGTATTAGCACATTTTTATTATTTTATTTTTGAAAGGTTAACCCCTTTAATATGCGCTTAAGATGCATTTTTTTTGAAGTGGTAGTTTATCACTAGTAGTCTTACTACATACACCAAATGCGCTTTCACATCACTAACAAAGTAGTATGCGAATTGGGACAGACCTCTGTGTGCTGTTAATCAATCACTCAATCAGTGTCCTATGATATAATGTGTTATGCAATCCCTGCACCGGCACAAATGTCCATGCTTTTGCTGGTTAGTGCTAGACAAACATATTTTAGCTGGTCAAGTTGGACAACCAGCACATTTGGTCAAGTCTGGTCGGGGCAACAATTAACAAATAACAACAATTATTATTATTATTATTATTAGTAGTAGTATAAATAATAATATATATAATAATGTGTACTTGAATATACTTAAACTTGAGTAAAAAAAAATATATATATATAATACAAAAGAATAAAGTCATATATACTTAATTTGTAAAATGAAGTGTGTAAAGCGAATGTAATTGCACCAATTAGAACTGTCTGACTATTGACAGTTTTGGCAACAGATTAAACGGCCTGTAAGAACGTTAATTTAAACCAAACAAAGGGCAAGGAGAGAGAACCTATAGAAATCACACTGACGAGTTCACATTCATTGTTGAAAAGTGCTGTGGTTGTGTTTGAGTGTATGTGTGGAGTCTGTTGCTGTGGAAAGGAATCGATAGCACAGCTCTGTCAGCATGCAGAGGGGAAATAGAATAATCAATGTGCCCATAAAGAGCTCCAAACGGCCGATCCGCACCTCTCCTCCAGGCCTGTTCCCCATTTGTTCCGTCTGCTGGTAATCATAGTGCCAGTCAGACACACCACCACGACTGCAGAAAACTCACTCTGTTCCCTCACTCCCACACCTGAACTGACCTCTCGCTCCGTGTTTTTGCAGTAGCAATTGATTCGCACTGAGAGAAAAGGAGGGCTGATGGTTCAATATCAAGGCCAAACCTTTATAATGAATTTGTTTGACTTTACCATAGTGATGGGAATTTTAAATGGTGCACTTTGTTAAAAGCCTTGGCAAAACTGTATATGGGTGTTTTTTTCAACCACAGACATATGATATATTACGAGTACATTTTATTTACCCTTGCCTCAAACCTACACCTGTACTCTTAAGCTAAAAATAAAAAAAACATCATAAAAATATTCATTTTTTTGTGAACATGGTGACCGCTCATGTGTGCACCTCCACACACACTAAACCCGAGCACTGATGTAGAACAAACTACATTCAGTTGGCTGTAGTGGATGGTTCTAACAGAGGCAGTCAGGTTTATATTTTTTATCTGTTGGTATTTGATAGAATCCATGATGCCATCTATTTGAACAAGATGTACAGGACCTCCGTCAGAAAAATAGGTCCACAACATTAAACATACAGCAGTATATTTAACCATGGACATGGGGTACTTTTTATCCCTGTTTGCACCAAACCCATCTGGTGGGTTTGCTAACAAAGCTTTTTTTTAGTTTCATCTGACCATAGAAGCCAGTCCCGTTTGAAGTTCCAGTCGTGTCTGACGGCTGAACATGCTGGTGTTTGTTTTTGGATGAGCGAGGAGGAAACCTCCCAAAAACATGTGGTGATGTAGGGGCTGTTTGATATATACTTATATATTTAGGATTTCTGACCCCAAGACTCAACTAATCTCTGCAATTCTCCAGCTGTGATCATTAGGACAATACTGACACATGTCCTCTTCCAGGCATGTAACATCTTTAATTGATTTGAACTTCTTAATTATTGCCCTGATGGTGGAAATGGGGATTTTCAATACTTTAGCTATTTCTTCCGCAGTGTGCCCATAATTGAAGAAAACTAAATGTAGTGCATTTGTGTGTGTGTGTGTGCGTTTTAAGCTGTGGTAGCCATATTTAAGCTATCAAAGTACAGGCCTCAACACAAAACTGTAAGTCTTGTGCCCTAAAGACACCTTTAGACTTGTAGCTGACTCCACTCTCTGCCCCCCCTCTTTGTGTATGCGTGATGTGTTTGTGTGTCTTGTGTGTGCAAACTCTTAAATGTGGTTTTTCATAATTTTCTTTTCCTCATTCTGACACAGGAGAGAGAGAAGAAAAAGGAGGAGAAGAAGAGGGAAAAGGACACAGATAAAGGGAACAAGCCAGCAGGTTTTGAGAAGGTAATCAACCTCATTACTGACCAAATAGACTGGAGCCATTGCACTTTTTAATGAATCTGTGTTTATGAATCAGTTGAAGATAGTGGTTAAACGGATCGTAGTTGATCCGTGATCCGTACGGACCAAGCCCCACGGTTCGGCATGCATGTGATCCGCGGATTAATTGCAAAATTTAACCATAATAGAGTATAAGTTTATAATTTGTTCGTATTTACACAAGCAAGCGAATTTTAAACAATTCCAGAGAGAAAAGGCGAAAGGGAACTCGATACGTTACTCGCGCGCTGTTCTCTACACGCAGAGCCGCACACACGCGTTTCAGATGACGTGCAAACACCGAACTGAATCCTCTTCTGAATCCTCTGATACAGCTGTGATAAAAATCTATATTTAATTTATACAGTGAACACTCTGCAGTGTTATTTTCCCTAATTATTACATTTCTGTATTTGAATACTACCAACCTTATTTTATTTGTAACATATTCTGTTGTATTTATTTATGCTTGTAATTTGTGAATTTGTTCTTATTTTTACTGGCTGTTCTCTTGCCTCTTTAATCATGTTTAAACTTTCTTAGTTAATCTAGTAGTATTTGCTGTGGTATCAAAGAAGTACTTCGCTTTAAGTAATAAATGAAAAGCAAGTTAAAATGAAATATTTTTCTTTTCTTGCTGACCCGAAAAATGATCCGATCCGTGGGTCAAAAACCGTAATGTGATCCGAACCGTGAGATTTGTGATCCGTTGAACCACTAGTTGAAGGCATTGTGTTTGGAATGCAGGTGCTCAATGCTGGACCATGAGGAAATGCTTTACAAATATTTTTGCTGTATTTTTCTTGATTTTGAGTTCTTACGTTTTTTAACAAATCGGAGATTTTGAGAATCAAACAAGCCAGTGTTCAGTGACCAAAAGGAAGATCACAGTCCTGTCTCTCCTATAAAATCAAACACCCTGAGCACTGGAGTTTAATTTGTCTTGCATATTCATGTCTCTTTGCAGGAAATTGGATCATTAGAATCTCCAAGTTCATTTGAGTTAAAAACCTTGTGGGAGATTGTGTATTGATGGTGGTGAGAATGTCAGATAGTTGAGAAACTTTATGCAAATAAGGTGATACAGACAGATTCTGTGCTGAAATCACATTGACACATTACTATCATTACTATTACATAATTCAGATTTCTAATTGATTTTGCACATTTTGATTGTGGCTAGAATGTGGTCGAGTTGGGAAAAAATCTGTTAATTTGTTACATTGATACTGTAGATCATGGGTTTTGAGATTATTATAGTTTCATTCTGCTTTCAAAAATCAGAATTAATCATGATTTTATTCTTTTGACAGATTTTAACAGTAAGAATAGTTTTGAGTTTGTTTTTTTGAGCTTGGTCAGGTTAGTTGCATGTTTTTGAAAGAAGACTCCTATACTTACCAAGGCTGCATTTATTTGATCAAAATGCAGTAAAAACAGTAATATTGTAAAAAATTAAGTTATTTAAAATAGCTGTTTTCTTTTTTAATATATTTTAAAATGTAAATTATTGATTTGAGGTCAAAGCTGTTCAAGAATAATTTCTTATTATTATCAGTGTTGAAAACTTAATATTAATATATAATACTTTTTTATTAATATATAATACTTAATACTAATGTTTTTGTGAAAACATTGTGGTTACATTTTTTCAGGATTCTTTAAATGAAAACTTCAAAAGAATAGCATTTATTTGAAATAATTGTTTTTTCTTTACTGTCATATTTGGGGGAAAAAATCTTTCACAAAACTGTATGTAGATTTGGTGATTTGACTTTATTTCTTACTGAATAAAACAACACTTTCAGAATAACAATCAAACTTGTATTAGATTTACACCATACAGAAATGAAGATTGCATTATTCCAACTGTAATCTAGCACGTATACGAAACTACTTTAATGAACATGCATTGAACGCAATCATAGTCCACACGGAAACAGCCACACTGCTGTTCATTTTACCAACAAACCCCCAGAGCATCTGATCTCTAGCGCTTTGAGCGGTATCGAGCGGGTTTCTTCGAGTCAGTGGACACGTAGGGTAACAGAAATTGCAGGCTTGACTTCATCTCTCTGTACTGCAGAGATGTTGAGCAAATAAGCAAACACTTGGATGTGCTGAACTAGCCACAGCAGCAATAATTTAAATTTTGCGCCTAGTCCACACAACTCTGCAGCACAAGAAAAAAAAAAAACCCTGAACAGGCATCTTACATTTGTACTTGTGTAAAAATCCGCTCAATTCAGGCACCTTGTTTTCCTTCGGGCAACACTTCATAACCACACACAGTCACACACACCTTCCCCTCCCCTGAAGCACAGTTTGGGGTCATCTGGGATCGTAACGCAGAAAACAAACGCAGAGAAAAAGGCATTTGAAATTGCTGTGTGTCGTGTGTGAGAGAAAAGAGAGAGTGCGAGGCCATTGGGAATGTGTATTATTGTCATCCAGCTGTCAGAGAGCACAATGGAGGTATTTGATTGACAGGCGAGAGGACGAGGATGGCTGGCCCCTGAGTGAGAGTGGAGAAGGAGTCACAGAGAGAGCGGAGTGCTTCGCTTTTTCTTCAGTGGTGTCTTGTGTTTTCTGTTATTTTCCTACTCTCTGCATGGCTTTTTATTCTACATGCTCTGTTGTCCTGCCGAGTGGTTCTCAATTAGCTTTGCTTCAGGATTTCACATTGGACATACACTGGCAACTCACTAGCATATAAAATAGGAAAATGCAAAACTTGTTGATTGGTTGCCTGAATGATTAGTTAACTGGTTGTCTTAAATATGCTGGTTTCAGGTCGAACTTGTTTTAGGGGGCTAGAAGTAGCACAACGATGTGGAAGAGAATTCATGGGATCTCAAGATGTATTTTTAGTTGTAGTTTTAGACCATTTTTAATTTGACATCTTAAAAATGCAACACTCATGGTAGGATGCTCAAAATGAAATGACCTATATTAGAGGCCCTTTAAAGGAAGAATTTAAGGTCGCAAGGTTTCCAAAAGGGTGTGAAGTATGACTTGTAGAATTTCCATACAACTCTGCAGCACAAGAAAAAAAAAAAACCCTGAACAGGCATCTTACATTTGTACTTGTGTAAAAATCCGCTCAATTCAGGCACCTTGTTTTCCTTCGGGCAACACTTCATAACCACACACAGTCACACACACCTTCCCCTCCCCTGAAGCACAGTTTAGGGTCATCTGGGATCGTAACGCAGAAAACAAATGCCAAAAAAAGGCATTCAAAATTGCTGTGTGTCGTGTGTGAGAGAAAAGAGAGAGTGCGAGGCCATTGGGAATGTGTATTATTGTCATCCAGCTGTCAGAGAGCACAATGGAGGTATTTGATTGACAGGCGAGAGGACGAGGATGGCTGGCCCCTGAGTGAGAGTGGAGAAGGAGTCACAGAGAGAGCGGAGTGCTTCGCTTTTTCTTCAGTGGTGTCTTGTGTTTTCTGTTATTTTCCTACTCTCTGCATGGCTTTTTATTCTACATGCTCTGTTGTCCTGCCGAGTGGTTCTCAATTAGCTTTGCTTCAGGATTTCACATTGGACATACACTGGCAACTCACTAGCATATAAAATAGGAAAATGCAAAACTTGTTGATTGGTTGCCTGAATGATTAGTTAACTGGTTGTCTTAAATATGCTGGTTTCAGGTCGAACTTGTTTTAGGGGGCTAGAAGTAGCACAACGATGTGGAAGAGAATTCATGGGATCTCAAGATGTATTTTTAACAGTTTTAGACCATTTTTAATTTGACATCTTAAAAATGCAACACTCATGGTAGGATGCTCAAAATGAAATGACCTATATTAGAGGCCCTTTAAAGGAAGAATTTAAGGTCGCAAGGTTTCCAAAAGGGTGTGAAGTATGACTTGTAGAATTAAACAGTTCAGCAGTTGGGTTTCCTATGTGTCCCATTCATTTTCTCCATGGAGGAATTGAATTAATGATAAACCTTTGAAGACAAACCTATTGTGAGCAAGGCTGTTAATTGATGCTTATGTTGAAGCCATCAGCTTGCATTATTTTACCTTTTTTTTTTTTTTCGATATTTGTGTTTAAAAGTGCTGTTCCTGATGGAAAAAACTCCACTAATCCAAGAATCACATTGAGCAAATCACACCAAAAGAACTTTATTGCATCCACTGACTCGCATGAAAATATATTGTTTATAATCAAAATCTTTAAATGAGTAGTTTTATTTGCCCACGGTTTTTAATTTTTGTAATTTGCAGTGCTTAATGGGTTCGTAGTTACTTACTTCATTAAAGCTGTCTTGTACCTAAAAAGTGCAGTCTAGTCTTGTTTTTTTTTTATCTCGTTAACAAAGAAAATAGATTTTTTTTTAAATGTCCTATGTGAAAATACTTGAGGAACCAAAGCCACTGAAAAAGTGGGCAGCACTGTTGCACTCTATTGATTTATTAAAATGGCAGCAACAGTAGTATTACATATTCAAGAACCTATTCAATATATTATTAATAATAATATACAATAGGGCTGAACGATTAATTGCATTTGCGATAATATCGCGATATGAAAAAAAAAAAATCGCAATTCGATTATTTTCCAAAATCGTTCAGCCCTAATATACAATATACCTGACTTCCATCAAGTAACATAGGCGGTTTTATTGTTTGCCAAGAAACTTGTTGCATCTGTTCACTTTAATATAGAATGTGTGCACAGGTGTGCCGGTTTGTATTTTTATTTATTTTTTTATTTTTTGGTTTGAATGAGACTTATCCAATCTAATATAGAAACAGAAATATTAGTGTAATAAAAGTGTCATCATGTGTAAACACAATAAGCAGAAGTGTGTTTTTCCCACCAGTCTACCACACAGAACAAAATTAGGCAGTGTATTGTATTATTATTAGCCATATTACAGTGACAGATAAACTGCTCCAAAATACTGTAGAGTGTGGTTGGATGCACAGCCTTTGAAAGTCAACTATGAAT